ATCCGTATACAGCACAATGAGAATGAATTAACATCAGTGTCCGTACTATCCAGAATCTGTACTGGTTGTCTTACAGAAGGATGTGGTAGAACAGACAGGGCAATAAACGATCAAAGTGAGAATTGGAGTAATTTGCAAGACTATTCTTGTAATCTATAAAGGTCAGATAAACAAATCCAGTGGTGGAAATCCGGCAAGAGAGAAAACAGCATTGTAACTAATAGTTCGGTAACCGCTTTATAACTCGCAGCAAATTCGTCTTTGAACTCGAAGCAGCGTTTAGAGTTAATTTTCTTTTTTAGAGACAATCCCCAAGCTCTACATCCATTGAAATAAGGGGTACAATGCCTTGTTTATAAAATAATTGCGCTAACATTCGATTTAACACCAAAACTATTACAAGCAATTCGATTCAGCCCACGCTGAAGTCTCTCACGTTTATTAGAAATGTAGGAAATATGCTTTTTCCAGTTAAATTTGCTGTCCAACAAAACACCTAGATATTTAATTTCATTCACCCTCTCAAGGGATTGTCATTTAAAAGCAATTGATATCCTTCATAAGTATATTTTTTCTATCAATAAACATGGTCTTGGATTTTGCATGGTTAAACTGTAACTTAAAATCTACTGACCAATGATAAATGAAATCTATAACATCTTGGGCGAGACGAAAAGCTTTTTGCATTTCTTTTCCTTGAATACAAATCAACAATCATCTGCAAAGGCAATGACTTCACAACTGAAGAGATCAGAAAGTTTCTGTAAGAGATCATTCATAATAATAATCCAAAGCTTGGACCGGAAACAGAACCTTGTGGACAACCTCTTTGAGGTCGACGAACACTTGAGGTGCCACCCAAAGAAGCTCGACCGTCCTGTCTTTCAGCAGCAAATCAGAAACACATTAAAACACATTTGAGGTATCTTTATTTCCTTTAGTAAATTAAGAATAGCAGGACACCATGCATTATCAAAAAGCTCCTTCAATATTAAGAAAAATTAAAATAGTGTACAAACCTCTCATCTTACCCCTCTGTACAATGTTGCTAAGACGCAGAAGTGCATCTCAGCACATTTTTGAGCAATGAAACCCATATTGGTCAGCACTAAGAATATTTTCTTTATATAGATGCCAAGTAATTATGTTAGTAATTTAGTTTTTCAAAAACATTTACCTAAAGAAGAAAGAAGACAGATACACCTAAGATTATTCACATGTGGAACAGTAAAACTTTGTTTCTTGAGTATCACAATAACGAGGGCGTTCTTCCAAGTTTCGTGAAAAGCACCAAGATTCAAACATATATTAAATAATCTATGAAAAACTGCAGGAAAAGCCGATGGAAGTATCTTATAGTTTTCACTGGGAATAGAATCCAGGCCAGGAGCCCTGCCAAGCCTTAAATTATGAATTACGTGATCAACCTCGGCCTGCGAAAAAGGACGATCAATCTGAGACGCATAATTGCTGCGAGCAGATGAGCGCCACTGAGTATGAAAGTCATTATTAAACCTCACAGAATTATTAGGAAATGCTTTATCAAGAATAGCATCAGTAGTTTCATCCAAGGAAGACGTAAAGTTACCTGCTTGAAAGCCGAAGGCCCGAGATCTCAATCTTCCTTATAAAATTTTCTTTAAATACCATAAGTGTAAATTTTTTTTTTCCACACATTCTCATTATTGATATCGGAAAGAAACTTCCTCCAGACTTTAATTTGGCCTCAATAAGCATTTCATTGTATTTTTTCCTTAAATCAAGGTATTTCCGCTATACAAGTCCCTTATATCATTTCTAGTAGTCCTCTGGAACCTCCGTCTAGCCGCTTTGACTCTCTTCTCATAATGGAAATTTCCAATGACCACCAAGGTACTTTTCGCCTACCAGTCCTTCTAGTAGGCATAGATTTAGTACATGCCCGAAAAATAACTGAAGTTATAAAATCTACAATCACATCAAGCGAGTCAATACTTGAGCAAGAATCCAAACAATTAATGATCAGAGAAATATAATGTGAACAATATTTTTCAAAATATCCCCCAGTTTGCTTTTTTGTATTAAAAAAAATCTACTGACAGCAATAAAGCAGCAGCAGAAACAGATAAGTCGAAACCAATCTTTGCATGGTCTGACAATGATTCACAGTCGCTAGCAAATCAGCACCCATAATTGTGACGTCTATATAGCGTGATTACTGTTCCTAACAAAAGGTAGGGCCACAGTCCTCATTGATCACATACAAGTTATAGCTGACAAAATCTCCAAGCTTGCTTCCTCGAGCATCACTGTAAGGACTAAACCACAGTTCAGACTTACTATTGAAATCCATACCCCAAATAAGCTTTGCAAGATCCCTAGCCTGAAAGACCCGACTTATTTTCTGTAAATCAATGTCAATACATCGGGAAGACTCAAAGTAGTATGAAAATAAAAAAAAAATATTTTGTACCTTTAAAAATAATGTCAAGAGTCACCATATTATAATACAAGAATCTCAGATCCAAACACGTAGGCAGAAATATGGCTCGAACAACAATAGCAGCCTTTATGACTTCTGAATTAAAATCATAGTATAACCTAAAGGAACTCGAAAAGCCAGGCATAAGACCATGATAAGAGTAAAGTTCTTGAATAAAGCAAACAGAAACATTGTTTACCTCCATATTTCAAAACAAGTTGCTGAGTAGCAGCCTACATCTATGTAAATTAATTTGAACAAATTTTAAAATAAAATTATGACTATTATCCATAATTTGTTCTTGATATATTTTGACTTCTTATAAATTCATGACAACAGCAACTTGAAAATGGCAGAAAAAGGCAAATGGCTTACATTTAATTTTTTTTTCCTCAACTTTTATTTTTTTGATTGCGTCTAATGCAATTGATGCAGACCTTTAAATTCTTATGTGGGCAATTTTTAATTTCATGTTCATGGGCACAGAAATAACAAGCCCGTAGGTTTTTACAATGTTCAGCATGGTGATTATATTCTAAACAGTTAAAACACTGATTATCATGACAAAATCATCCACAGTACAAATACTCCAAGAAATTTTTAGTCTACATTCCTGTAAAATACCTCTACCATGTCTGGATGCACCTCAAACAGCTAAATGTCTCGTATTTTGAAATTTCTCAACGTAAATCGAATTCGAGATTCACTCCATTTATTTTCAGAGGCGATAACATCTGGATTTTGATTTTTAAAAATCGAGAACATCTCATCCCTTATCTCATTAGGGACATTTTTATTAAGATAGTAGGATTCCTTCGTTTGGAAGGAAAGGTAGTAATTCCGGTGATTTATGAATTTCAGTTGTATCCTTTTTAATCATTTCAGAGGGCATTCTATCAATACCTGCATTTCCAATATTTTTTAGATTGAGAATACCCACTTTTTTCTCTACAGGATTAATTGTAATTAAGAATCTTCTTAATATCCTCTGACGAACGATTTCCGAAGAAATGACAAGACCACAACTTAAAGAATTTTGTTTTGCATTCTCCACAGGGAGATGGCAACACGCACTAGCATACTGGTTTTACGAAAATGTCTTTAAGACTTTCCTACAAGCTTCACGGTAACCAACGACTTAATACGTTCAAAATTCTAGTAATCAAACACTTTAACTCACATTGCAGTGCCTTGCCTCTTCACGTATATTCTGGTTCATATTACACTTTGACTCAATAGCCGTTTCAAGTTTATCATAGCAAAATTTAAGCCTATAAAACACATCATGTCTTCGTCCATCTTGGCATTCTTTTACTTCGTAGCACTACTCAAAGAAGTAAACAAATCGTTAAGCTAGGCTAACTATACGAAATCTTGCAAGAGCCATTATTAACAATATTCTTTAACTTGAAACAAATGCACAAATATAAAGCAGACACTTGCACAAATAAAATTATACACATAAATAGTTTACACACATTAATTATCGCAAAATAAAGCTGAAAATCAGAGCTCAAGAAAACACACACAGCAATGGCGCGAGCATGCGCAGCATTAAATATTATGTATTAAATAGTATATTAAATATTTTTTACATTATTTGGTCATTTCGTGCGACATACTCATCATGGCTGTTAATGGAACGGATAGAAACTGCAGAAATACTGCAGCATCATACTTAGTGTTTAAATGTTTCGCTATATTGCTCGCCATTATTGAATATGATAAATACTTCGTGCTTTCGCGTATGAGTGCTGTATAGCTGATCATATTACTAATGGAACTGTGATATAGTACCATTTTTTTTTACTACAGTACATTAAAAGCCCGCAGATATAAGATATTTATTCCGCATGCTTTCGTGGTGTAACTGGAAGCATACTCGACCCATATTCGAGAGATCCAGTTTTCGAGTCCCGGCTAGGGCGTTGCCCATTTTTCACGTCTCCTGCTTTAAAGGAAAAAAATCCTAATGACTCTACAGTGGTGCCCAAACTAAAAAGTGTTGGACGAATATTCGCTACCATCAGGATTTGGCGATTGAGTCCCGTAATCAGCAGTCGCCCTTTAAAAGGAAGTGTCTGTAAGGTATTTCCCCCCTTTTCCCGCATATCTTCGGGGGATAACTGGAAGCATACTCGACGCGTATTCGAAAGGTCGAGGTTTCGAGTTCCTTCGAGGGCATTGCACATTTTTCACGTCTTCTGGCTTTTTTTTTAAAAAAGCTCTAATGACTCTATAATATATATTTTTTTTCTGGTTAATGATATTCAATATTTTTAATTCGATTAATTCCCACGAACTTTAAAACTAAATGTTCATCCTAAATAAAAGTTAATTTAGAATTTTGAAATATACATCAACTGAAGCAACAAGAATTTTATGTAATACAAACTCCTTATGCTACATCAAGTATAATGTAATCTGGCACTAATTTTTTATCATCATTTGTGTTGTCATAGTTTGAAATGCATATGTACTATTGCTGTTTAACAGATTAAGATGCAGTCAATAAACTAATAAATAATTTTTTCCTTAGGAGAAGCAAATCTGACAGCAGTGAGCGAGCTGTTTGTTGAGTTCTCAGCTGAGGATGATGCCTATACAAGCCGCAGTGTGCTTGCTCTCAATATCACAAGAAGAGTTCATGGAAAAGAACTAGTATGTCGCGTCCACCATGTCACTTGGCTTCAGGCCGCTGCTGTTAGTGCTTCCTTGAATGTTTTGTGTAAGTAACAGCTTCTATCCCAGTGATTTTTTCATATTTCTGTGAATATGCACCGAATTTTTTTCAGCTAAATATAAATGATATGCGCCTATTTTTGTACTCGTATTTTTCTCACTTTCTTATGCATTCTACTTCAATCATAAATGTTAATTAATATGCGTAATGGTGGTGTTTAGTAAGTTCACTGTTTTCAAAATGAAACCGAAACTGTAATTTTCAACTAAACTTCATAAAAGTAGATAAAACCGAAACTTGTTCTTCTTAAAAGCATATTCACTTCATTGCATTTCATTGAGACAACCTACATTGGATAAACGCTTAAAAATCTGCTGTAATTCTGCAGCATAAATCCTCAGTTATGTCTAAGAACAGCAAGCCAGACGCATTTTAAATTGGAAATATTTTGGGTATTGCAAGATGACATATTTGGGGCTGAAAATCCCAATCGATATCGAAAGAATTTAAGCAGGGACACTGACGACCGAACTATTCCACACTTTTGGCTCTCTAGGTACAGGCTACATACTAGACTATCACGATCAACAAAAGTAAATACAAACAGTCCAATACAAGAGCAAATGCGTTTGGTGACATTACGTGAAATGTAATGTAAAATACCAAAAATTAATTGTTTAGACATAAGACATTTCTGCAAGACCTTCAAGCATAGGAATAGCTATTTCTGAAGAGGAAAGTGTCCTATGTACGCTCATTCGTCGCGACCTGATTATCCCTGAAAGTAGGCATGTATACATATCGCTTAAATTTGAAGAGCTTGTTTATTAATATTCTCGTCAAGATGATCGTAAATCTTATCAGAGAACACTGTATTATCAAAGAATTAAACATATTTAAAGGGCAATACACGGAACGCTCAGTACTGCTGGAAAGTTTGAAAAACGCGCTGTGATTCATATATATTGTCAACATTTGAACCAATTTACCGAAGGCTAACCTACTGACATTAAAATGTATATTTAGTTTTTAACATCTTTATCTCTGCAAATCAATATGGACATTTTGCCAGAAGGCACTTCGTATTTACCTCAAAATTTTCTCTATCGTACCTGAATTTATATCTGCTTTAACAGAGGCAGCTTTTGCACTACTTCATAAAGAACGTTTTATGGGCTAACCAGATTATTTTGCTCTTGTTTTATCTGAAAATACTAAACTGATGAATGAAATCTTAACCTGATTAGCGAAAGAGGAGTGGTTTTTATTGTCGATAATAAACTGAAAGCGTCTTTGAAGATACCTTTTGTTCTTAGATGTTGTTTTTGTTTTGTGCGAAGGATATAATATAAGAAAGTCTGTTTTCATTCTAGAGATGAACTCGCTTTTATAAAGAAAGAATGTTTCTGAAAGAGGAATGAAAAGAGAGGTAAATTCATAAAGGACTTCTCCTAACATTGGTTTCGTTTTACTATTCTTTTATCACTACCCCCAGCTGCACAAATGATTCTTCAAAGACTAATAGCCATCTACATGAGGGAAGTCAAACTCATAGGTACACTTGGGCCAAACAAACAAGGTTTAACTTTAGGCGGGCCGCAAAAAAAAAAAAAAAAAAAAAAAAAAAAAAAAGTCAATATTTATAGAAACGTAGATTTATTTCGAATAATACAATAATAAACACATATATATATATTTATAGAGAAAAGAACTAGAAAAATTTAATGTTTACGTCCTGATACTTGACATCTCTTCTCTGCTATTATCTTTCCTATTTCGGGAGAAATTTTTTTGCAGTGATAACTTTCAACGCTGACCTTTCAACTTTCAACGCTGTGAGTAATCTAACAACACTGGATAAATTATCGTTAATTACTTAGCAGTAAACATTTCATTTTTTTCTTCGTCGATATGCTATTTTATTATTATATATTATTATTTGCCGATATATTGGCCGGGCCGCAAAAATATTTGTTGTGGGCCGCATGCGGCCCGCGGGCCGCGAGTTTGACATCCTTGATCTACATCATAAATGTCTTCAAGCAAAACGTCACAATTTTAACGGATTTGTTTAGTCTCAGATACTGCAGAGCAGGCAACCCCATATTACGCATTTCGATGTACTAAGCAGGTAATCCTGTATACGCATTCAATGACACTGAATATGTGCGTGATATATAATAAATTGGACAAAGGTAATAAATGCGAAGATGTAATAGAATTCGGCGCTACTTGTAGGCGAATAAGGTTAGATTGAGTTGCATATTCTTCTTTGCCATAGAGTATAAAGATGTAACAAAGCATCTGTACAAAGTGTAACAAATTCAATAGTCACAACTGTAAGGGGAACTTTCGTCATACAATCAATGTGGGTTCGGAAAGCAAATGGTATAAGTTAGAGGACGCTTTCTGTGGAGAGGATGGATGAAACTTCGCTTTTAGCAGAACTCGTCATTCGCCAAAAATGCAGCAATATTCGAATGCAGAGAAGACTCATACGCACCTTATGTTCAGGACTGCAACGGCAATGCCATAGAAGCATGAAGCATTAAACGGAGCGATTTCCAGACAGGGAGCTGTCCTCGCTCGGTGGCCAAAGAGTTGACTCAGATCGACCAAAGATCGAATGATAAATCGAATAGACATAATATTTGAGGCAGTGAACGACCAGCCTGAACGAAGCCCGCGAGCAATAACTCTTCATAAATGTGTACAACCATCTAACTGTAGTGCGTGAAGAAAGGGGTCCAAGCCCTTTCTTCACGCAATATTGCAATTGCATGAAAAAAGGGCCTTGAATATGTCCACAAGGTCCAGACCTAAATTAAACGGATTTTCTCCAACGTGTAAAATTTGTATGTTGGTTCCTGCAAGGGAGCATAATGCATCCACAGTTTGCAGCGATCTGTCCTGTTTAGGCTGCGTTTACATCTGACGTCACGTAAACGTAACCTAACAACAATCATGTGTGGCCTGCAGTTAATCCACATGTTAAACTTTGCAGTTGCCACCAGCAAATGTTCTCCGTGAAGTGGCCAGGGATTATCCGCGATCACTTAGTTGGCCCATAGCTTCCGGTAAGCCGCCTAGACAGACAGAAGTACGTCATCTTCTTTTAGCAGGTGCTATCTGATTTCCTGCAACACGAGCTGGGATACGTTCGAACAGTCATGTGGTTTTAGCACGTTGGAGCGCAATCGTATTCTTCAGAATCGTATGAAACTACCTCGACATTACCATTCTAAACAGATGTATTGGCCGCGATGAGCCCATCCCTTGGCCTTCCAGATCTCCCGATCTATCCTGCCTGGAGTTTTTTCTCTGAGGACAGCTCAGATGTCTCATTTACAAGCCGCTCATCGAGTTACCAGAGAAACTTATCTTCCGAATTATCGCCCTAGCTGCAGATGGTCGTGAAATGCCAAAAATCGTATAACGTGTGCGTGACTCACTCCGTCACCGAAGTGACGTTTGTAGTGCAGCTGGTGGTTGCTCATTTAATATTTTTTGTAAAGTTTTCACAAACAACGGTTCTTTAATTATTCGTCTTTGTTGTATTCTGCATTATCACTAAGTATGCACCCTCTCGCGATTCGCCATTTGCTTTCCGACGCCACATTGTATAGTAAAATTTGCTTGCTTTGGAAAGTTCTATCATCTCTTACAAGTTGTGACCATTAGTTTTTGTTACATCCTGTGCTCCTTCCCGAAGGCCCTGCATCTCAGTCTTAAAACAAGGATTAATGGCACCAACAAATTTATCAACAGCTGTCTACAGGCCGCTACTATGAACAAATCATGGTCGCTGAGGTACTTCTGCACACCAAAAAAATTAAAATGGCGAACCAGTCTTATATATTGAACAAGCACCCTCAGAAGGAACAGAGGTTTCTTCTTCTCACCCTGATCAGCAAGCGAAGTGTAATTCTTTGATCCTTTCTTCAAATGAAGGCTAAGGTGACGCCATTTTGCCTTAGCAATTGTTGAAAGGCACTTTAAGACTATCGATCCAAAGTGGCAAACTTGCCTGGAGTAAATTCTTATACCTATAGAGTAAACTTATGGTTTCATATAAGTATTTTCATGTAGAACGCAAAAAGCTTCCAAGATGAACTCTTTGAGGTCTTCTAGTAGTTAGAGAAAAAGAATACTGATTAATTTTAAGTTCGGCCATAATTTTTAAAACACGGTAGTTAAACAGATGTTTTGCACAGACAATTTTTTTGCTATTATAATTTTTTTGCTACAATTTCAAATTATAGCACAAAATTATATTTAATTTTGAAAACAATAACATCGAAATCGTATTAAAATTATTACAGTGTCTTCTATTTTCCGAAATTTTCGCCCTTTATTCTCAATCAGATATAATTTTCAAATATTCAACTACTTATTCTTTATATATGCAAGTTTTTATTTTATGACGTTCTTTGATTTTTTTTAAATATATATTAAAATAAGTAGCCATTTTTTATTAATCTTCTTACTTTCGCTTTACAGATGATCCTTCGTTTTCTATATCTCGAGAACCTGGCTTCGGTTTCCCTCTGATAGAAGGTATGAAAGTGTCTTTACGCTGCGAAGTGGATGCGAATCCCCCTAGCGACCCTTTGTGGGTAAAAGACGATGGGCCTCTTACAATCCAACAAGACAATCTTGGCTTCCTCAATTTTTCATCTATTGGGCATGAACATGCCGGATGGTACCGATGTACGACCCATCATGAATTTGGCTTCTTCGCCTCTTTCGGTTATTTTCTCAACGTCCGAAGTAAGCAATAAAATTTTTCTCTAATAAAAACTAAGAAACTTAATAATTTGTAGTATTCTGCCTGTGTTTAGTTTGATTTCCCATTAAAAGGTCCTAAACAAAGTTTGAATTCTTTTAGTTATTAAAGTTGATTTTTTTTTTTTTTTTTTTTTTTTGTATTAACTAATTGATTCTCTGACATCAATCATTTTCATTGATAGTCGTGTCTTAAAAAGCAATTTGACACTGAAAATACAAATTGAAGTAATTTGATTCATCCTTTATTCAAAATAATATCTCTGTCCCTAATACTGTTCCCCAAAAATGGCATTTCAAAATAAGCATGAAGAAAGTTTGCTTAAAGACGAAATTTAAATATAATAGGAAAGACTGGTTTCTAAGTTACAGAAGACAAAATTTGTAGCATAAAACAATGGTAGGGAAAAGTTACGGACTTAACGATGTAGGTTACCGTAATCTAAATGCTGAAGGTACTGCCTACTAGCGACATCTAACGTCATGGACGGTAAATATAACGCGAAATGAAATTACATAAATTTATTCTTTCAAATTATTTTGCCGCTTGTAAAGATATAAAATAGAGAAATATTTTTCAGGTACTTTTTGAAGCTGTCGGGAAAGCAATATCATTAAATTCATTAGCATAATTTTGCAGTTCTTTTCATAATATCATTAAATTCATTAGCATAATTTTGCAGTTCTTTTCATAACTGTTGCCGTAGTTCTTGGGTTACTACTTTTTAGAGCACTAAAAATCAAATTATTTAAAATTATTTAAAAATCTTAATCTAGCTTTGGCCTTGTTTTAATTAGTGGTTAATCCAGCTTTTATATAATGGCTCAAAAGAACAGATTCTCTGAACTGATTGCGATGCATATATCGAACGCTCAGAAACATCAGATTCCGTTCTGGTTTTAAGAAAACATAATAACTTACATACCTCCTGATGATTGGGTTCTATTGCACAAGTCGGGTTATACTGATGCAGGTTGGTTTATATTGATACAAATCGAATTCTTATAATAAAACTATAGCGTCTGACTTGCTTTAGTAGATTAAACTACTAGTATCAAACTCCTAACAGACTTCGAGTGAGTTATCGCTGTGCTTGACGTTAACAACAGGGACTTGAAGGTTAAAACAACCTTTTTATTAAATCAGAGCTTGAACATAAAATTTACTTTCATACTTGAGAAGATCAACCATCACTTGTGGCGATGTAACTTAAAGTAACAGTCAGATTCCAACTAAGTAGTCAAAGACTACATAGTTTAATTTAAGACTAAGTTGGCTGAGAACCAGCGCAACAATTTAAATGATGGCGGCTGTAACGCACAGCCGAATAATTACAATCGTATCAGGGATGGCGAATCCTAATAACGTGGCCTCCAGAGACAGAAAACATGCTCTGTCTAACAAATCAAAAACCTCATGACTGTCTAAATGATTTACGTTTTTGGTGAGTAAACGGAAAGATGAAGCGACAGTAAACGTTGGAATTATAAATAATTGGTTAATGAAAAATAATATTAACAGTACAAAATTATCTAGTAGATATATTTTATTACTTCATTTTATTTATCCTTGAAATCAAATTTTTTTTACTGTGTTGGTGATAATGAAATTAAAGATTACACTTCAAACCTTTGAATCGAAAAACAATGATAATTTTGTCTCGTCCGATGAATTCTTCGTTTCATGTCATCAGTAAAAACATTTCGGTGCTTTCTGATAGAATTGCCGGGCTTTTGGCGTATTTTTAGCTATTCATGAGACAACAACAAATTTTAATAGATTTAAGTGCATAAGCTACAGATAATGTAAAGAGAGAAGAAAATAATAATAAATGTGTGTCATTATAAGAACCAAATCAGAATATTTTCTTTTACTACAACTTGAGTCGTAATTTCTGCTCCAGGCATATGGTTAATTGTAAATCTGATTTCATTCCATTGATATTAATTTAAATGAAGGCTACTAATATATAGTATTTTAACTGTTTATAAAATTCCTATTCCAAAAAATTATTGTATTTAATTTAAAATTGTTCTCAGAATAAATTTATTACAGTTTATATACTTCTCGGTAATTCATCTTTGCTGGATAGATATTAGTTATATGGCTAAAATATAAGGCACATTTTCCTTGTACAATGGGTAATGCATGCATGACTTTGTAGCTTAATATGAAATATATCTTTCATATTTAAGAATTAAAAAAATTCGTCTTTTTTTTTCAGCCGCCGAATTGCCAGTTTCGACTGCAGCAGGCTCGAATATTCCAGCTGGTCTGGGACAATCTGTGAATGTCGGGTGCATTTCTGACGGTAAGACAAAAAATTTATTTTTTTACTATTTGTATGATAAATTTCTGATAAAACTACATTTTATAAAATTAGTAATAACTTAAAATTCTATTTTATTCATACACTACATAAAATAATATAACTGTATTTGTCTGTTTTGGAACTGAGACTCAAATAAACTTTGCTCAAATATAATTTACAAGTATCGAGCAAGTAATATTTCTGAATTTTTTTTCCTTTCGAACATTGGTATTATGTTATTAGGCTAAAAGAGAAATGTTATAATAGGGCAAGTTTAGCTTAATTGATTCAGTTATTTTGTAGATTAATTGCTGAAAACAATTATAAATTTTGTTTAGCACACTTGAAGTTAAGACGTGAAACGAAATCCGTTTGATGTTTTACTATTGACTCATAGATGGCAGCACTAGAACTGAAAAGTTTTTCAACGTTCATATGCGACTACTTTGGGCCAACTACATCCTTTTTTTTTTTTTTTTTTTTTTTTTTTTGACTTTTCGGTAGAATTCCTAATAAAAATTCTCATTGTTTTGTCATTTACTAATTTCGTATGCTATTTTTTTTTAACACTGAGTGTTTAAAAATAGCTCCTAAATTAGAAATAATTTCATTGCCCTATAAGGTGTATCTCCCGCCTTCCTAGCGTGCCTTCCTGATGTAGTGGTTTTGCACGCTGGGCCAGTATTCCAGAGGTCCATGGTTCGATTCCCACCAAAAGTGACTGCTCACTTTCATCTCTCCTGCTTCCAAAAAAATTCCTAATGTCTCTACAGTGACGCCCGAACTAAAAGGGTGGTGGATGATGATTCTCCTCACCCAGGATTTAGCGATTGGATCCTCTAAAAACCCCAGTCGCCCTTTAAAAAGGGAAGTCTATAAGGTATTTCTCCCGCCTTCTAGAGTGCCTTCGTGGTGTAGTGGTTCTGCGCGCTAAGCCGGTATTCAAGAGGTCTGTAGTTCGATTCCCGGCCAAGGCGTTTGCTCATTTTTCATCTTGCCTGCTTCCAAAAATACCTAATGTCTCTACAGGCCTGCTAGGCGTGTTTTTTTATACCTGAAAAAAATTAATCAGATAATTTAAAAGGAATTTATTATTTTATATAAAAAAAAGAACAGATTTAAAACACTCATTTTTAGGAACTAAAAACATAGTTGAGCAATGTTTTGTTTTTTAAACGTTTTAATTTCAATCCAAATGTTGATTTTGTACTAAAAACAATCACTAATATATTATAATAGCAGTTTACTAGAAATAAAAACATTCAATTGACAACAGAGATGGAAATATCACTCATACTTCATATATGGTACTCATATCTTGCTTTTTTATTAAGTGTGTGTGATTATGGCAAAGCCTCGAGGGCTATCTGCCTAAGAGGAGGAATGCCTTCGGGGAGGACTTTCTAAGGGAAACTGGCTCGTATACACGTTACACATGGGGAAAACCACGCAAACGCCCATGCAGCCAGCACGTTCGCGGGATTCGAACCTCGGACCGAACTACCAGTGTTCAGCGACTTTACCGCTCGGCCGCTGGTGGGCGCTTTTTTATTAAGAGTACTGAACTTTGGTAGCTCCTTTCATTTATTTCTACACATCAGATTATATTCCAGTGCTTGATTTTTGTGATAGCCATCCGCATACAAGTAGAAGACTGAAGAAAAAAAAAAAATTAATGTCTTAGGCAGATTTAATTCACCCCCCCCACAAGTGGCTAAGACCACATATCCCTACTAGCTGCTAGTGCGATTGGGTCTCAAATCCCAACAAACGCGATGGTTGCATGGGTATTTGCATAATTTTCAAGATATATAATGTGAATGCAAGATAGTTTCTTTTAAAAATACTTCAAGGAATTTAATCATTCTTGTGTGCTTTTGCCATAATCTACTATATAAATTTGAGAATGCCTTTTATGCTGAATTCCCCAAACCATGGATATTTAATACGTATTTCTATAAACAAAAAATCCCAACCCATCTTTACGCTTTTATCAGCATTTAAAACACTAAGCTATTGCATCGGAAAAGCTCTGCCATAATGAATGCAAATAATAACTCAACTTGTCTTTCAAAATTCACGAGAAGGTAGAGAAATAAGTTTTCAAAATTTATGAGCTAATATTTAAATAAAAGACTTAGTTTTTATTTAGCCAAGAACCCAGTTTTAACTCAGGTTTACAAAAAACTACCATTCGATTTGATTTAAGCTATTTGATAATATTTGCAAAGAACGAAGATATAATATTTCTGTTCCCAAGTTTTTTTTTATTTTTCAAAATATTTTGATTAAGTATACGCCACAAAAGTACTTTCTACTAAAGATTGTTTATATTCAGTCTCATTAATTTTATACACTTTTTAATTTTTTTAAAGAAAATTTTCATTTCGAACTCAGACAAATTTTTAAAATAAATCATCCAACATTAGATATTTTATTTCAATTGTCCAATTAGTTTATTTACTTGAGCCCAAAGCACACGTTTGCTTACTGTCTTTGCTCCATCTAGTTTTGATCGAGATTATCCCAGAGGATGGAATCCTATTCTCTTTCACTTTTTTCCTATCACCAGTATCTTAAATTGGACAACCTCGGACCCTTTTATAGCATTGTTTTTCTGATAAAAAATACAATTTCAATCAGAGCTTTCTGAATTCCACAAGATCATCCGTATTACGTTTATTCTTCGAAACAATCAGCTAAGGCAAGTTTCTCATTTTTTCATGTGTAAATATATAAAAAGAATTTTGCGCTTCTTATCCGTAAATACATGATAATACACGCTACTAATGCATGATAAGGATTTCGAACTTCAAGAATAATGTAATCTAGAAATGGTTTATCATACACGCAAAGAGGCATTCGGAAGTGAAATAAGTAATTTCTTCGTGAAATTTACTGATGACGGAAAATATCCACCAAACTAACAACTATAAAAAAACCAAATCTCTCTTTAAGAGAAACTCCGAGGGGAAATTATGACAGCTGTAAATTGAAACTTAACTGAGATATTTAATTTCAAGATTTGTATTATCTGATGTCATTTTCAGTTTGCATCTAGGGGTCGGCTAAGAAATAAATTAGAAAACAAAAATCTGAAGGCTTTCAGATTTTAAAGTATACCCAAAGGAGTGTTTTTTTAACGTTTTTAATTTATATCACAAAATATTTAAAAAGAGAATATCTTTAGAATTTCCGATACATAGTGTCTTGGGAGCAGGAGATAAGAATGCTTTTTTTCAGTGCAGTGTTCCTATTGCTTGCTTTGAAATCGTTGACTTCGTTAATCAAAAATTCGTTAAAGATTTACAAAATATGAAATAGATAATAAACAAATTCCAAATTTGAGCTTCCAGATGTCCATATTCGAGTGAAGGACTACGTTCTTGAAGATTTGATGTCTCTATTTACCGTTGTTTTTCCACAATGCGAGAAACATGCATACGTTACGTTTTCTTCCTTCTGACACCAGTTGTTACGTTTTCTTCCTTCCGATACCAGTTGTTGCGTTATTTTCTTCCTTCACGTTCGTACGGGGTTTGTGTGGATTTGGAGTGAATAACGACGACACTTGATGAAGTATCGAAATACACTTTATTGGCCAGTAGTGTCAGGACAGCTCCAAAGTCACGTTTCACAGTCGTCGAAGATCTACTATAAACACGCTGACACGATCAGCGACACAGCCTTCAGGTTATCAGGCTATCACGGTGGAGACAGCTTCACAGCAAAGCACTAGAGTACAGCTCTCGACTCTGCTTGGTCGTTCTCGGAACACCACGTACTCTCGAGACTCTCCACGCGAAGCACTCGACGATACACAAGAGTATAGCTCTCGACTCAGCACAGTCTGAGACAAAACTCGGCGATGCACTAATGCACGATGCACTAAAAGACTCTCTCGATGCACTCGACTACTAACTCGGCGCTAGACTTGGAGACACTCGCTCAATGACTGACTATCAGCTCGCTAGACGAGGCACACACACTAATTGACTGCAGACCAGCAGGGTTTATATAGCTTTCGGCTTGTGTTCGAGAACATTCTGGACTAAACCGGTAAGAATTCGTTCCAACAGGTTCTCCATTCGTTCATGGTATATCACCAATTTTGTCGCCAAATGGGCGATTTCTCGCCAAATGTGGCAACCCTGCTTTTCTTTATCCATTTTATGGCAACCCTAAAACTGCTTTGCGGGGAAGCCATCTTACCGCGTCTGTACATTTCGTAACAATACATTCAAGCAGATTCTTCATTATACGATTTCTTAAAATATAATGCAGGGCTCTAATATTTGGTGGCAACAACTGAAAAGTGAAATGCCGTTTTGTGGTGGACGACGCAAAATGCCAAAGTGAAATTAATAACCATTCTAGGCAAATTGACTCTTTGGCCCAAAAAAAGAAAATATTTTTATTGTTGTCAATAAATGAGCATGAATTATAGGAAACTTGATAAATAGCAGAATTAGGGTATATTATCTTTTGCTTTAATTTAAAGAGTTTTCTAAATCTAATCTAATTGAAACGAACTTCTTATTCTAAAGCAGGAAATCTTAAATGGGATTGAATAAGCGTAATCAACAGCATTTATTGAAAAAGTAAAAGACGTTCAATACTATTTCTAATTTCTAGTTCATGTTTTATGTACTACATCAAGTACTCAGTGATAAATATTTGTGAAACTGCACTTTTTATTTGTTTCAGTGTTGTGAAATACAGATCAAGAAAAAAGTTTTAGTTCAAAATTCTGTATTTTTATTGCGCATTTCGCATTATTATTTAACAATTTACCATTGTTCTTAATACTCGAAGGGTTTGGTTGTTTCCGCTTTGACAATGCATCGCATTCAATATATCTTTCTAACAAAAGATTTATTAGAAAAGATAAAACTGAGTTTTTATGTAGCAATTCTATATAACTGGATTATCTTGCTTAACAAAGCACAGTTTCTGCTTTTTAAAAATAACTGTAAACACGTGTATATTTCCTTTCTTTC